ATTTTACATGGGTTGAAACGAACAAAAAAAATTCAAAAAATACACACTGTGCCTTACTGTTTTTTCGATTTTCATGCCTTTATCATCCTAATTTGAATATAGATTAATTTATATAATTTTCTAGTTTCTTAAACCGTTAAAATCCTATTTTTTATGTGAAAGATATTATAAAAACCCTAATTTGGATTTTGAGGAGATAAACGTGGAAACATAATTTTTAATTATAAGATAATTAAATTGAATTATCCTTTTATCATTTTAATAATACAATTAATCAAATGATTAATTAAAAGTTAAATCCATAATTAGTTTAATTATTAATTAATTAAATATCTAATTCAAATAATTAATATTTAAACCTTCTTTTTAGTGAAGCGACAAAAAAACTTGATTGTGTCCTAAGGCGTCAATGGTGCCTGGAACATAAGCGTTTCGCCGTCGATGAAGATTCCATTTAGGAAATATGTTTTCTTCCTTAGAACTTGCTATCTTTCTCCATCATTTGTCTACGTAATCATGATAGAACAATTTTCTTTTAGGAAATAAAACTTGATATCGATATTTATCGGTGAATAATTATAAATGGATTTTCTAATATGTGCTCTAAGAACACATAATCATTAATTATATAGATTATTAATAAATTTTATATTTAATTATTGTAATATTTTTTATAATTAATGTGTTTAACATTTAAAATATGATAATAATTATGATTATGACACATATTAGAAAATCCCAATAATAAAATGGATTTTAGATGGCAAATAGTCATTCCAAATACAAAAGTGATGTATCTTCCACATCCCAAGAAGTTGGTGTCGAAATTACCTTTTCAAATGGTATATGAGTTGTGAATCAAAATTTACGAATATCTCTTGAAACGTTGACAATTTGACTTTCACTAACAAGTGTCATTTACTTTATAAACAAAATCTTTCTCACTTAAAGCATGATGAAAGAATATTAAGGAAAACATCTATGAATACATATGTATATATTAGCTTCTTATAGTCTTACGAGATGTAACTACATTATAGAGGCTTATGCGTCAGTAGCTGATGGCGTAGCCTTGGCTTCGGCTTCTTCAAGAAGTTTTAGGATTTCTTCTCGTTTTACATTGAGTGCTTGAATCTTGGAACCAATCTTTTCAAGCTTGGCTTTTAGTTTGGCTGGATCATTTTTATCTTCAGGATTCTTTTCCTTTTTATCCTTTTTATCCTTTTTCTCCTTCTTATCCTTCTTTTTCTTGTCCTTTTCTTCTTCTCCATTTTGGGCGTCCTTGAATTTCTCTTCCTTTTCCTCTGTCTCTCCCATTTTTTAACCTTTTAAATTGAATTTTTGGTAATATTGATCAATTCCTGAAAGCAAGAACAATATTGAATGAACTTCAAAAATAAAAAGAAAAAACCATGCTTAAAGTTGAATCACTAACCTAGAAATACAAATCTTTAGGGGGGTGGTGGATAAAAGTGACCTCAAGAGCTTCTAAATACTAATAAAAAAAAACTTTGAACTATTATTGGATTGAAATGATGGAATGAAAACATACAGCATAATCTATGGCTTTAGATATTTTAATACCCCACAAATGGTGCATTACCAACTATACGACTTCTGGTTTAGGAAGTTTTGAATTCATAATCAATAAATTTAAGATTTTAAGTTGGTATTCATTGGGTTAAATTAAATTTTTATTTATACCAAACGTTAATCAAGATAAATTTATAAAAAAAAAAAAAAAAAAAAAAAAAAAAAAAAAAAACAGCATTAGTTTGTATTATTCAAAATTAAAAAGATGTGTTTATAGGCTTCTTTTTGAAAACCTTCGTGCCGATGTTATGGGCAGTGTGTGCCAAGACGCATTATGACACAAATTCTTTTAAACGGTACAAGTTTTTTTTATTTATGATCCGACATTAAACCATTAAATTTTTTTTCATATTTTTTAACCAATAAACTTATTTGACATATTCATAATAGAGTAATATTCTTGTAATTACCACTATATTATCCTATTTTCAATACGACAAACAAGTTCAATATTCAAATGTGAACAAAAAAACATAGTTACCTAAATGTGGACAGAGACCAAAGTTCGTTACCTTTCTAGGTCATTAACCCTATCAGATATATTAATAGTCTTCTTCTAATGATCTACTTGCACCTCGGATTTATCTAGATCTATTTGACCAATAAACTTATTTGACATATTTATAATAGGATAATATTACTGTAATTACCACTATATTATCCTATTTTGAACATGTCAAACAAGTTCAATGGTCAAATGTGAACGAAAAAAACATAGTTACATAAATGTGGACAAAGATCAAAGTTCGTTACCTTTCTAGGTCATTAACCCTATCAGATATATTAATAGTCTTCTTCTAATGGTCTACTTGCACCTCTAATGATCTATTTGCACCTCGGATTTATCTAGATCTATTCGTTTATCTAACAAGTTAAAATGCAAATGGATTTTCACGGAATTCATTGAAAATAAATGACGTGATTATTGGATCCAAGGTCAATATGGATCTCAATGAAGCGGTACGAAATGAACCTTAGTTGTTTGAATTTTTGTTTAGTGTAGTGTACTTAAAGGAATATCATTTACACAATATCCTTAATTTTGTTACATATTATGAAGAAACTATATATATATATATATATATATATATATATATATATATATATATATATATATATATATATATGTATTTGTGTGTTTGTGTGTGTATGTGTGTATGTTAGAGACTCGGGAAACCATGAGTTTATAAGTTAGACAATGAAAGTATATTGATAAAATAAATAAAAAACTGTAAATTCAATACTCAAATACATTGAAATGTGATTGTGAATGTAAGATAATATTTTACTTTAATATATGAGACTTGAATGATTAATAATTTTTTTAATAAAAGATAGTTAAGATGATTGTAAGATAATGTGATTCAATGTAAAAAAAAAAAAAAAGTTATTATCTTTATATGAAAAGAAAAAAATAAGGATTTTATAGATCTAAAAAATAATTAGTTACCTCAACAATTTTTTATATGATTTCTGTAAATTTATGCTTTCCAAATGTACCTATATATATATATATATATATATATATATATATATATATATATATATATATATATATATATATATATATATATATATATATATATATATATATATATATATATATATATATATATATATATATATATATAAAAGTGAATATATACCCTTAAGGATATATAAAATTAGGTAACTACTATTTAAAACTGCCTGATTTAGATTAGTGGGTTAATTTGCTAAATAAAATAAATCCTTAAAAAAAATATGTGGTTTCCTTAATTGTGATCACGTTCCAATAGTTCCATCATCAAGAAATTGGAATCGCAATACAAGGAGTTCAAAGAAAAATGCAATTCACACGAACTAAAATAAAAAGAAGATTTCAATTCAATTATATACTTGTTTCGTTGTTCTTTTCATTCTTACGACCTCTCTTCAGGTAGTATACAAACATGGGTTTTTTATATCTACTAATTGCAATCTTCTTAGTTTGTATTTTTATATTATTAATTGGAATCGTTTGCAATTCATACACATATATCAAGTTTACAAATTATTTGTAACCCTTAATTTCAATTCTTTGGTTCTGTGTGTGGTCTTTAATGCAGCGGTTTTTTTTTTTTTTTTTTTGGCTAAAGGCATATACTTCATTAATAATGCAGCGGCAATTTTTTTTTGTGGAAGACATATACTTCATTAATAAAAACAGTTTGATCTGTTATAGATGGTGTAGGCAATTCATTATTCTAAAGATTCATTATTCTAAAGAGCTAACTTCATGCCTTCTAAAGTCTTTGTTTTGGGTTAACTTGGATGAATTTGATCCAACTTTTTGCAAACAATGAAAAATTGATAATAAAAAACAACAAACAAATTGAATATGAAGTCATCGATTGTAATGTATTTTAACGAATGATCTTTTTATGTTCCGAGTTGTAATGTATTTTAACGAATGGTTTTTTCTGCTCCAATTCCATGGAAGTCAATTAACGTAAATCATACAAATTGTAATTCACATGAATTCATACAAATTGCAACTGACAAGAATTCATACAAACTAGGGGAAGTTTCCCGCGCCAAAGGCACGGGTTACAGGGAGGTTTTCAGTTGTAAGGTACATTGACAATGATAAGGAAAATGATAATGCTTTACTATATGTCAAAGTAGTAAATTGATATTAATGGCTTTAATTTACTTTTACATAGATGGATTAGAAAACATGTATGTTTATAAAATATAAAGAGTACATAACTTGTTATTTATTTAGATGAGTTTCATAAAGTGGTTGGAATAAGTGAGTCATGCAAAAAAGCAAATATACATACTTATTTGATGTTCAGTGGAGAGTCGTATGACATGAAAAAAAAATGTTCTTCATTATCATTTTGTGACCTTTGTTTGCATCTTTGATTTCGGCTTGATTTTTCACGTAAACCTTTCTTCGTTTTAGTATTTTTACCGTGTTTATAAATTAAAATTTTTACCATGTTTATAACTTGTTATTCATTGTGTTTTTTATGTATAATGTTTCCATTATATTCAATATAAAAAAATTCTGGTGTTAATCTTATTTTGGAAATATGCATCGTTGTCTATTGCAGACCACAATAAGTGAAGCCGAAGCAACTAATCAAGCTATAGAACCATATATAACCGAAGATAGTGACACAAATGATTACGTGGAAGCAACATATGAATGAGAAAAAATAAATAGTATCGGTGAGAACATTGAATTTGACGAAGAGGAAGTTAACAATGAAAGTATACTTGGAAAGGTTTTTGATACACCCGATGATGCTTATACATTTTATAATGATTATTCATTTTTACATGGCTTTGGTATACGTAGGGATGACACAATTAAAAATCCTAAAACAAATGAGCCTTTTTGGAAGATATATGTATGTAATAAAGAAGGTTTCAAAAGGATGGACAAAAATGCTTCAAGTGAAAATGAGAAAAAACGTCGTAGAGATGTTAGAACCGGATGTCAAGCAAAGCTTCGAATAACAAAACAGGAGGATGAGAAATGGTTGGTGAACTCGTTTAAGGACACACACAATCACGACTTCACCATGACACCTACGAAGGTTATGAAGCATCGATCTCATAACAGTTTCCACCGTTCAATAGAAGGTAAATCTCTTATGGTGCAATTCGGTCAAGCAGGGTTGAAACCTTCTCAGATTAAAAAGGTTGTTAATACAATGAAAACCTCAAATGTAGCTGATGTTACATCAAAGCAATGTGCCGATCTCTTATCTGAGCAACGAAAGCAACATATAGGAAAGGAGTTCTATGGACTTATAAAACATTTTCAAGATAAAACATTAGTTGATAGTGACCAGTATTTTGTCGTGGATTTGTCTGATGATGTGTGACAACCCGAAATTTCCATTCTGAACAAAACACTTGAAGCCAATAGAAGTAGAACAGTTACAATGAAAACTCAGTTTTCGAGTATAAATTTGGCAGTTTTCAGGATTTTACACTTAAGGAGATATTAGGAGAGTGGATGCACTAGGGTTTTGTGCAACACTGTTATTCCAATACTCTAGGATATTAGAGTTCACTCCGAGAATAGAAATATTTCTGCCAAAAATCCCAGCACTATATATAGGAAACTAAACCAAATAGTTCATTTGTTGAATTCCATTTAGAGAAAAGTCAAAATTCTCTCTCACGGATCTTCGGGTTTTTATCCCAAATTATGAGTACTTCGATCTAGTTATGTTATATAACTTAGATTATGATTAGAAACATCAATTACATATCAAAACAACTAGACTCGGGAGTTTACCGCCCAAGAACGTTCTTGGGGAGTAAACTCCATTTTAAGGTCCTAAAGGGGTCCAATGACCCTCAAAGCTTTAGAACTCGAACTAGAAGCCTTCATTTCATAGTTAGGACAACAAAATAATTAGGAAACAATGATGAAAGTGAGTTCACGGCCAAGGAGTTCTTGGGCAGTGAACTCCATGATTAAGTGCCCAAAATGCTTTGAAACACTTCCTAAGGCTTAGACTTAATTAAGGACAAGTACCCTAAAGTGTTTATAGCCTAGCAAACATAAGGAATCACAAGGAAAAAGGAGTTTATAGCCAAGACAAACTCTTGGGTCGTAAACACCTATAAAGGGGTCAAATGACATCCTAACTCCTTCCTTATGACTAGAACCCAACATAGATCATTACCTTGAAATGTTTGAGACTTGAAAACACCATAATCACCCTCCCAAGGGAGTTTACGGTCGTAAACTCCAAGGGAATATGGTCCCAAGACCGTAAACTCCTTAAAGGAGTTATTATGACACCCAAACACTTGATTTAGCCTTGAAACAATTCACCACATGAGTTGTATAATTGTTAGACTTCATTTAGAGGCTTTGTTGAGAGTTTACGGCCAGGAGTTTACTCCCCTGGGCCGTAAACTCCAAGACATATGGTCGTTAGACCATAAACTCCCATTAGGGGCATTGCACTCCTTTGTTGCAACCCTTTAACCTCCTAGCACTTGACCAAAAGTGTTTTCCTCGCGTTTAAATGTTTATACTTGTATAATTAGTGTTTTAATCACTAATTATTTATATACATATGTCTTCATATGTAATTAGGATCATTTTGTGTGTCTAAAGTCTTCACTTGACACCAAGCACTTGTCCGATCCTTCCTTACGATAACAGTCCGTTCAAGTCCAGTCACTTACTGCAGGTGAGTTCATACCCCTTAACTAATGTTTTAAACTATTTTTAAATGTTTTATGGGGGGGATACAAGTAGAATCATGCTAGTTATTATATCAATCACATGTGATTAATAAGTAGAATTATGCTAGTTATTACATCAATCACATGTGATTAATATACAACATTTAAATGATTTGGCTACACATTAGCCATTTTACCAAACAGTTTCCTTCAAATGATTTTTATAAACATTTTATATGTTTTAAATTCCTTATTACACTGTACCTCTTACTCTGTATATCATATTTCAAACTTATTTACAACTGTGTTTCAAACAAACGTTTCTATATACTAAATTGTTTTATCAAACCCATGCCTTCAAATTGTTTTATATATTGACATCAAGTCGATCATTTCTTAAAAGAATATTATTGTTCAAATGTTTTACAAAACATATTTATGCTTTTATATTATAAATTGCATGCCTTTATATGTATAGTTATATAAGAAATGTTTAAAAGACTTAGGAAGGCTATCCACCCTATTTCCTTTTCGCGCTTGAGATGTGGTCTGGTGGGATATCGGGTACTCGTCCGAAGGTCGTTTAAATATTAGTTATATATCATGTGTACATATATAGTCATAAAAGGGTCCTTCCAGTTCATCCCATGCCTTTAGGTAGCAAGGGTATACATCCATGTTCATACTTACCAGTTAGATTACTAGTAAACTACCATATGGGTAGTTTAGGAAGATACTAGAACTATTACTAGAACGCGATATCATACTATGAGTCAGTTCATTCATGAGTCAATACTTACTACTAGAAGAACATATACAACTATCCTAGAGAAGAACGTATACAACTGTACTAGAAAGAGAACATATACAACAATACTAGAACGATTACATTACTATACTTGCTAGGTAGAGAGCACGTACATTACAGCTAGAACAGTTCATTACATTACACTTACATGAATACGTCAATAATTGTGATCCACTGTATCGGAGGATGCCTTAAATGCCATGGCCCGAGTTGTAGCCAGAATTCTCTTGGAGGGAGAGCGTGAGTTTGCGTATAGATCTATACTGGATTGACTATCCTACACCTTGCTGCTAGCTACAGCCGGACCTGCAGGTCTGCGGGTGCCAAACGTCATTCCGTTATTACGGCCCTTCGTATGTCGTTGTTATCAGTCGATAGTATGGTGCAATTTATCACATAATGTCTTAATATAAATCCGGTTTAAGGGAGTTAGTACAGCAGTAGTTCTTATAGCGCTACGTTTTGGTACTACATTAATTTTCCCTGTACATATATTTAGTGATCTTTTCACTTAAACTATGAATGTAGAAACTATATTTTGTTAATAATAGTTACACTTGGGAAAATTACACACTTTTACATGACACGAACATTGAGACCAGTTAGGTCTTGGTAGAAGACACCCTTATATAATATTATGAATCATAGGGATTTCTAGAGTTTTTCAAACGTTTACAGTTGTTTTACAAACATTTTCATACTTACAGTTCATATACATTTTCAATACTTACAATTCATTTACTTACAAATTACTACATACAAATTAAGACACTAAATACTTATGATCTCACCAGCTTTAAAGCTGATACTCGCTTTCAAAATTACTTGATCCTCATGTCATCATAGACAGGTACCGATGCAAGGAGAAAGGAAGATGGAGCTCATTCAAGAGTCATCTTTCATTTTGATTTATGCTTTAGTGTTTATCAGAATTTGACAGAACACTTGTATAATAATTATATTATTAATGCAATGGATGATGTTGTTGCTTGTTTACTACTTTTCATTGTTGTGATACTGTACATGACGTCCTCCGCCCCAGAACGTTTCCGCCGTTCTTGGTTTTGGTGTGTGACATGATGGGTATCCTAGAAATATCTTTTGGGCTGATGGTAGATCAAGAGATGCTTATACAAAATGCAGAGATGTTGTTGTGTTTGATGTCACTTATATGACTAACAAGTTCAAGATGCCTTTTGCTCCCTTTAGTGGGGTGAATCATCATGGGCAGTCTATACTTTTTAGTGGAGCATTGCTTGAAAATGAAAAGGAAGAGACATTTGAATGGTTATTTGAACATTTCCTCAAATGTATGTTTAATAAGTATCCAAAGGCAATTATAACAGATCAAGACAAAGCAATGGGAAATGCAATAAAAAAAGTGTTTCCGAATACTCGACATCGTTTTTGTTCATGGCATATCATGAAGCATGAAACTGAGCACCTTCGATTGTATGTTTCCTGTTATAGTGATTTTCAAGAAACGCACAAACAATGGGTAAATAGTGACACCACTGAACAATTTGAAGCAAGATAGGAGGTTATGCGTAATAAGTATGAATTCGAAAGTAATTGTTGGATTAGTGACATGTATAACCAACGTATACATTGGGCTAAACCCTTCTTGAAGGATACTTTCTTTGCTGGTATGACAACAACCGGACGAAGTGAGAGTATCAATTCATTTTTTGATGGATTTGTTAATTCGAGGACCATGTTGAATGAATTTGTTGTACAATACGACAAAGCAGTTGAGTCTCGAAGGGCCGCCGAAGAAGATGAAGACTTCAAGACTATGAACTCGAGGCCGGTTCTTTCTTCAGTGCATCCAATCAAAGCAAAAGCAAGTCAATGTTATACTAGAAAGATGTTTGATACTTTCAAAAAAGAATGGACCGAAGCAATTACCAATTTGACTCATGAGACTATAGGAAAAACTATCAAAGAAAGCACATACCGAGTTGGTCAATTAGACGTTGATAAAAAAAAATTAGCGCATTGTTACCTTTCGTTCTTTGGATCAAGTCAGCGTCACATGTTCCTGTGCTAAGTATGAGACAAATGGGATTTTATGTAAGCATAGCCTATATTGAACAAGCTAGAGACTCCCCTTCAGAGATACAAAAAGTCAATACGCTATTGATAAGTCTTTTGGATGATCAAACAAATCAAAAGAAATCTATGTCTTTGGAGAATGCATCTCAAGGTTCTTGTATGGGAGTTTCGCAAATAGATATGACGCCACAATTATCTGTCCGTGATCCTCTTTGTCCAACTACCACAAAAGGGCGTCCTAAAATTGCTAGTAGAATTAGATCTTCTTTAGAAGCCCCCAAAAAACGTACATGCTCTTATTGTCAAGGATTGGATCATTACGCTACTAGTTGTTCCAAAAGAAAGGTACTTTCAATATTAATTTAATTTAATTTTAATGATTTAGAACTCTAATAATTATATTAACATTTAACAATATTTTTTTACATGTATCAGACAGATGAATCGTTGGAAGAGACATAATAATGAGTTGTGTTGTTTTTGTGAGCAACGGAAATTCGATATGCTTCTTGGCATTTTTGACATTTTTTGGGGTTAACAATACATGAATAGTCTGGAAATGTTTTATGTTTCTTAACATTTTTTTATAGTTTTTAAATGAAAATTTTTTGATTATGATTTTTGTGATTAAAATTGCATGTTGGTTGTTCTTATGTGTTTCAAAATGAAAATATGATACTATTATGGGCTAAAAACGAAAATATGATACTATTGTGGGTTAAAAACGAAAATATGATGCTATTGTGGGTTAAAAACATAATCATGATGCTATTGTGGGTTAAAAACAAAATTATGATACAAGTATTGGTGAAAAACAAAATTATGATGCTATTGTGGGTGAAAACGAAAATAAGATGCTTGTATGGGTTAAAAACAAAAATATGATATTATTGTGGGTTAAAAACGAAAGTATTTATAAGTACATTGCTATTTCGAATAAATAAGAAAAGTGGGTTGCAATTTCAGATCAATCCAACAAAAACAATACTTTTCAATACAATTTCTATCAACGTATACAATTCGTCAAAAAACCTTTACAAATTATGTCCTAACTAATACATGATTACATCATCTAATACAATCTTCAGCTTCTTTGGTGTCTCCATGCAACCCAAGATCTTTGCAATGCTAATAACCTTCACATGAGAATAACTTTGCATTTATAATTTGTCAAACGGAAATGGAAATAGATACAATTTTTGTCCCCTTGATTATTACTGAAAAACTGAACTAAATTAACCTAAACATTATCCCTATTTATAATAATCTTAACCGAATCCTAAACAAACACATAAACTACATATAAAGGCAAGTTTCCTATTTTAGCCCTGGAACTCAAATCTGTCCTATATTTTAGCCTTGTAGAAAAGATTTGTCTTCTATTATCATGAGCCTTGATATTCTGTTGTAAGAGCAAGAATGAGATTAATTCTAATTTATAACCATTAAAGGGGAAGGAGAATAAAGAATATAAACAAGAAACAACCTCAGTCCTTGTTAATAAATCTTGAAACTTTTTTGTAGCTCCCATTAGCTTGTTCTTAAAATCATAACAAACAGTATTAGAATGGAAAATTGTATCTTTTCCTTGTTTTGAAGAGTTTGCAAATCAGATACAACTACATTTAGAGCTGTTATATCGTTCTTTATCAAGGCTATTAGTTTTTGTATCTTCTTCAACGGATCATCAAAACCCAAGTAGAATAACATTGCTTTTATGTGGACACACTTATCTTTCATACCCTTCCAATCCATTATCGTGTAACAAATTGCTAAATTGACTTTCCTAATTGGTCATACAAGTAAAATAAACAATTAATCAGTGAAGAAACCTGTGGCTAGAATTACAAACTTAACTTTCCTAACAAAAACAATTAAAACCATAGTAATAGAACTTGTCTTCATTGCTTTAACAATATTTATGCTAAAATTGAAACCATATTTAGAACTAGGCAAGCCAAAACTAACTAGCGATCCACAAGCAATCTAGGAAGAGAAAAACAACCAGGAGCATCCACAAAATAAGGGAAAATGGAGGAAAACAAACCAGCAGCTCCAGAAGACCCAATCAAACTACTTTCTTTCAAATTTTGTCGTAACACGGTCACTTAATTGAATCAACACCCGAAATTGCATTTTTTCCTAGCAAAAGAATCAGTCTTTATACATATTGGGACAAGATTTCACTAAGACATTTAATCAAACACCTGGTGTACATTACTGTACATTACAAGAGACATTATATTTGAAAAGAAAATACACAGAAACTAATCACCATAGATGAACCTGCTATTCTTCAAACACCCCAATCTATAGAAATTACCTAATGCACACCAAGAAAAAAAATTGAAGAAGATGAATCCAAAAAATGTCTCTCAACTTATCACCTGGTATCATTCAAACACCCCAGTCGATTCTAAATAAGATAGGTTTGCTTTATCAATCTTCCTGATTAATATTATTGCGAAGAATTGATGCATATACGCAATAAGAAAACTCCAACACTGAACTTTTTCAATCTTCGTGATTAATATTACCTTAAATCACAATCTTTTTCAAATCAAGAAGCATCGGCAAGCCAAGGACCCTAGGACCCAGTTCCAATTTTGTGATGGTGATTTCCGGTGAAGAGTGACAAGTGAGGAAGAAAGAATGTGTCGGCAACAGAGAAAGAATGAGACTACGATAAAGAAAGAACGAATCAACAAAAGAGAAAGAATGAGATTTATGTGAACTCTATGAATTGAATTCTAATTTCTATGAAATCGATTTGGTGAAGATGCAGATTTCCGGTGAAGAGTGAGAAGGGAAGAGGAAAACGGGTGCGTGGTGGTGGCGGATGGGAACGTCGGTCGGACAAGGGGTGAGAAATGATACAGAAAAATAAGAAGAAATCGGTGTAATTAGAGAAAAGGAAAGGGGTACACAAAACTACGTAGTTTTGAGGATCGGGTATACAAGCTTAGCTACCTTAAGGGTATATATTTTGTGAGACCGTGTAACGTATTTTTTATTTTTTTTATTTTTATTTTTTTAATTTTTTTAGTTAATTCAAATTCCAAAAATACTATTTAAAAAAAAAAAATTTGGATTTTTCCATTTATTTTGCATTTTAAAATTAATTTTTAGAATATGTACAGTGTAATATTCTATTAGAATATTTCACGTATTTTTCAAAAAAAAAATAGATTTTTTTTTAATTTTTTTTAGTTAATTCAAGTTCCGAAAATAATATTTAAAAAAAAATTTAGATTTTTCCATTTATATTTCATTTTAAATTATTTTTTTGAATATGTTGGTGTAATATTCTATTAGAATATTTCACGTATTTTTCAAAAAAAAAACGGGATTTTTTTTAGTTAATTCAAGTTCCGAAAATAATATTTAAAAAAAGAATTTTTTTAATTTTTCCATTTATTTTGCATTTTAAATTTATTTTTAGATTTGGTCTCACGGTCTTACAAAATTAAAATAATCTCAAATGAACCTGAACCTATATATATATATATATATATTATTTTATGATCTATTAAAATGTATAAATATGGAATTTAAGCATTTTCAGTATGTTAGCTAAAAATTCAACTTATATGTTTTATATTGGACATTGTAAATCATATATATCATACATATATATATTTATACATGCCAAGTTTATATTACGGTAATTTCACGCACTCATTGCTACATATCGCATAAATCTTTTAAAATGTTTATAATCGATTAACCGTTATAATATCTTTTAAATATGTTAAATACATAATGATGAAACATAAATTTGGTTTGGTTCTAGTAGCGTTACACGAATTTATCGACCACCTTTGATCTAAATCTAACAGATGTTACAAAAAACCTATGTGCTCAAGAGGCTCCCGTGACCCACTCAGTTTCTTGTATTATAAGTAGTGACAAGAGTATAGTTGGATGATCTTACGAGAGATTATGGATTTATAGGTGAATAGAAAATAAATAGAATGTTGTAAAGCCTATATTGTTTTTTAGGCCAATTTTGTTTTGCAACCTATAATGTATTGTTTATGCATTAAAGCTATATTGACAATGAGATCCCAAAGTTTGTAATGTAATGAAAATACGTTTGTTCATAAATGATTTGATAAAACTTTATCATAATTTCTTTGGAACAAATTCTGCAACACTTTCTTCAAAAAGTTACTCTGATTTTATTATAAAGCATAAACGAAATTGATCTTTTCTGACTGTAAAAATGGGGATGTCACAGCTAGTATCAGAGCATTAGTTTAAGCGAACTAGGAATTTGTAGGATTTCTAGAGTTAAACTTAGAATGCTAAGTGATGATCGTGAGATGAGTGTCTACTATATTTTAGACACGAACACTAGTTTATTTTAGGAAATATGCCTAAAATGCTTTTATATGCTAAATGTTATATGTTTGCTGTATGTGTTATTAATTGTTTGGATCTATGTTCTGTTGCTGACCGGATCTGGAAACCTTATGTGTTCAGAATTATAAGCGTACGACTACGATATTAGAACTAGCATGTAACGTTTCGTAGTGATAAGGAGAATTTAAGCGTATATCGTAAATAAAGATCTAAATTCACCTACTTTGGTTTATGGATCAACATGGTGGGAACCCGAAGTAGAACTGGAAACACGAATGAAAACAGGAATCAACGGTCTCGTCCCCAAGTGATTGAGTAGGTGTCGATAGTAGGAGTTGCACCTGAGCAAGTCACGATGGTTGGAGTACAAGCCATGATCCAGGATATGATGGCTGAGCAGAGGGAATAAATTAGGAAACTGTTGTTGAATAATTGGAATGAACCTTCGATGTCTGTTGAACAACCAAAACTGAATGACTAACAGTCAGAAGAAGGGAATTACAGTCGCACAGTCAGTCAAGCGAAACCCCCAGTGGCATAAAGGAATGACCCAGAGAGGGGAATCGACAGAGATGAACATATGTATAAGAACTTCTTGTGTGCTAAACCACCAAGTCTTTCCGGAAGCCCAAAGCCAGCAGAGATTATGGACTGGATCTATGAAATGGAGATAATATTTGAAAGCTTCAACTGTAAAGACAAGCAGAAAACCGTCTTTGCGGTCAGACAACTGAAGACCGGAGTTTTAAGGTGGTCGAAGTTATTAGCATATATGATGCCACGAGGAGAAGCTCTGAAGATGTCTTGGGAAGCATTCATAGAGCAGTTGAAGATGGAGTACTGCTCCGAAATAGATATGATAGATCTAAACAATGAGTTCCAAAACTTGAAGAATGGGAGAATGAGCATTGATGACTATGTTGTTGCATTCACTGAGAAGATGAAGTTATTTCTATACCTGGTGCCGACTGAACTCACCAAGATAGAGAAATTGCTAACTGATTGACATCAGACTTTAGCCCAACAGTCAAAATGGAAAGCCTTGAAGGAAGCCGTTAAATCAGCCAAGAATGTTGAGACCCAGTTAAGAGAAAAGG